TGCTGTTGCTGCTCTCTGGTAGCTGGGGAAGAGTTTACTCACATATACCATGCTGGAACTAGGGTACGTTTGGTAGCCTGGAAACAACCTGGGCTCTTCTCAGAACCTCTAGCAGCTTGCAGTTCAGGAAGAACTCATATCATTCAGTGGTGAGCAGTAATTAAAAAGGAATTGGCATAACATGTATACCAAGTACATATCAAACAAATGAGAGCAAAGGCATAGAAAAACAAAGTGATAGCAGACGAAGAATACTCATGAGAAGAAGCCTGGTTCAGAGCAAATGATAAACATGACCAGTCAGAAATAATCACAAAATTCAAAAAATACACAACAAAGTCATCACCTCTATAAAACAAGGGATCAAAGCAGAAATATAAGAACTCAAGAGAAATTGGGCAAGACAAGATGATGATGAAACATGAGCTTGTAGAGATCAGAAAAGAAAGAGAAAAATAAAACCCTGCCAATGAGTAGAGGAGGATACCATTGGGTTTCTACTCTGTGCTATCCTCTGTATGGAGTATTTGTATTCTTTAATGACATTAAATAAAGTTGGACTCTGACTGCACATGTTGGTGTCCTTGATCAGTTATCATCCTTATGAAAACACAAAGAAGGAATATATCCTTATAAAACAATGAAAATAAATTGTGCATCCAACTTAAGTCATAAAAGGAATAAAATTCAAAAGGAACTGAATGAAAGAGTTAATCAAATTAAAAGTAAAATTTTATGTAAAAAAAAAAACTAGAGTAGAACTAATAAATAAATGCAAGAGTCAGTTCTCTGGGAAAAAATAAAAACCAAACAAAGAAATCAAATAAACTGTTACTAATCAAATCATGGGGAAAATAATAAAACCATAAATATACCAATTAAGAAACAATATTGTGGATATAATTATAGAAACTGAGAAAATAAAAAAATTTAAAAAGAGATTATATAAAAATACATTTGACATCTGGATGAAATAATTTCATTTTCTGAGAGAATACAAATGATCAAAATGACTTCAAAAGAGAGAAAAATAAGATAGAAATGTAACTATCTGAGTTGAGAGTCAAAAGTTACAGAGAGCACAAGAGCTATTCAGTCCATGAGAATGGCAGTCTACGTACCACCACCAATTTGCCAGTCCCTCTTGTACCGACCTTTTCTAAATCCAAGTAAAGCAGTCATAGGGTTTTCTCAGAGTTAGAAGGAAGAATTAAGAAGATGCAAGGAGGCCAAATACCTAAGATTTTGATAAGGCAGAAGGGCATGAGGCATCTAATGGGCAAGACAATGGGGAGTGAAAGAAGCTGACCCGGAGGCCGACTGGAAGAAGTCAGCCACACAGTGGAACTGAGGATCAGCCCCTTGTGGGACTTCCTTAAACACATCCCTTCTTTCCCCACAAGTTTTCGTCATTCCATTCTATTTCCCTTTCCACGAATGAAGTGATAGGGCCACTATTTATTTATTTGTTAACTGACTGTCCCTTCAGCTGCGCAACCGCTTCCATGGGAGCAGAGACCATGTCTCCTTTGTCCAACAGTGTATCCACATGGTCTATGGGCCTGATATTGAGCCAGTCATTATATACTGGAGCAAGCTTGATATTTTAGAGAAGAAGCAGAGAACAGTAAGGAATGTTGCTGCAAAGACATCGATTTCCAGCCCCAGGAGGAAGATGTGCATTATGGAGGTGCAACAGCCTCCTAGGAATGAGGCAACTATTCCAGCCTTAAAGGGAACAGAGAGAATGTGCAGGGGCTTCCTGGGACAAGGCAGAGAGCCTGCTGAGAGGCTGGAGGGACAGGTTGGAGAGATAAGCTGTATCTCACAACATAATATTGAATAGGAAAAGTAAAAGTGTGGTTCTCTGTCTTGCTTTTATTTTTGTTTTAATTTTTTTTTTGAGATGTAGTCTTGTTCTATTGCCCAGACTGGAGTGCAGTGGCATGATCTCGGTTCACTGCAATCTCTGCCTCCTGGTTTAAGGGATTCTCCTGCCTCAGCCTCCCGAGTAGCTGGGATTTCAGGTGTGTGCCACCATGCCTGGCTAATTTTTGGATTTTTAGTAGAGACGGGGTTTTGCCATGCTGCTCAGGCTGGTCTTGAACTCCTAACCTCAGATGATTTGCCCACCTCAGCCTCCCAAAGTACTGGGAATACAGGCCTGAGTCACTGTACCCAGCTGTGCCTTGCTTTTAAAAAGTCAATCTCACAAGCACAATCTGGAGAGATGCAGTTTAACTGAATATCACAGGTAAAGGAAAAAAAACAAAAAACAAAAAACTAAACAACAACAACAAAAAACATTCACAAGACTTTGAGATCTTGGTAAACTGTAAGCTCAAAATGAGTGACAGATGTGCCATGACCACTAAAATTCTTATGTTGAGGTAGGCGTCATTGATCAGTTCTCCTGTCTTCAGTGATGCCAATGACAAGCTTGCTTTGCTCCAGGCTGTCGGGCTGTTGTGTGATTTTCCTTTCTGAATGCTACATTTAACAGGTATACAGGTAAACTGAAGCGCATTCAGAACAGAGGCCCACAGGACGATACAGATACTTGCCAGTAAATTACAGAAGGCACAGTTAAAGGAACTGGGGCTATTTGGCTTGGAGAAGGAAAGCCTCAACAGAGACCCAATAGCTGTCTCCGAGTATCTAAGGGGCTGTCAAGAGTAGAGGCTTTAGTCTAGCTCAGAATGACCTTGAGGGTATAGCTAGGACTAATAGGCATACTGCAGCTCAATACAAGTGAGAGCTTTAGAGTCATCAGAGCTATGTGGAGATGGGGGGATGCCTCAGCACAAGGAACAACCTGTCAACTTGGGCGCTCAAGTCCATGCAGCGTGTCTTGGTGTGCAGTGAGGCAGGACCTGACACCAAGGGCTGCACCGGACACCAGACTAGCTGACTCCTAAACCCTTTCTAAAGCTGAAATCCTGCCTTCAGCTTCCATATTCATTACGAGAATTAATGGGGATTAGTTATACGAAAGTGCTTTGTAAACTCTAGAGTGTTCTACATATATAAAGGGTTATTACTACTTTTTCATTACCTTGGAGTACACTTCGATTCTATCCTGATTGCCATTGTCTCTACTTATCCCTTAGTTCTCTTCAACCTCATAAAATGTCTAAATTATAGATGCAAAATGTAATATTATGACTATGATTCAAAATTTCAAAATGTTTCACAAATAACAAATGGTTTTTCATCTTTTACTAATGAGGGGCAGGTCCTATATTCAGTTTGCTTCTCATGGTCCTTTTTCTATGGTTTCAAGGAATGGAGTAGCTAAGTTCTTCCGGATCACCTTATGGGGAAGAAGTCATTAATATCAATAGCACCCTCACAAAAATCTGTGTAACAAAAATATCTCTACATTAATAAGCAACACACAAATAATACATGAATAAATAACCAATACACAATACATTGATAAATAAACCTGAGTCTACTCTGATAGAATGTGACTTCTGTCCTTTACTCAGTGTCTTCTGGTGGCCCATCAATTCTCAGGCAATCAGAAGGTCTGTTATTTGGTGGCATAGGCAAACTTGTCACAAGGTATTATGACTTGCAAAAATTAATTGCCAAATAAATAAAAGCCCCAATTCCATTTAGGTGTTCAAAGTATTTTCCGCACCCAACTCTAGTATCATCTCTAATGAAAGTAACAACTTGACAACTTTGAAATATCATCTCTTTTCATTTTTTTCCAGTTTTTTCTCCCTTCCATATTTTTTTTTGTTCACCAGAGGACTTAACAGAGAGTGACACAACATAGGCAGGCTGAGAGAAGGAAACTAGGAAAACCAGGAGAGAGCAAACTGGATACAGACTCTCCTAAAACTACAGTTAACTCCGTGACAAAGCAGCCCTCATGCCAATGTGTTCTCTAAACTGTTTATGTGTTTTATTATTTGACTGACTGAAACCCAGAGCAAACAAGGGATTCAGAGGCTGGAATTTACATAGAACACGGGAGAAGGTAAGGCTCAGATGAGGAGAAATACCAAGAAGTTTTGACATACTTTTCTTTTTGATGCCATGGATCACTGGGAAGAAAATATTTTTTAAAAGAAGCTATTAGTTTCTGCTCTGTATTCAGTCTGACACCTTTTATGTGTTTATATTCCATGAGTGAGACTTTTTAATGTAGATAGTATTTCTTCACATGACAATGACCCTATGAAGAAAAATCTACTCTATACTTTCCTATATTGTGATTATAATGCTCTAATTATAAACATTCAGGGAAAGGACATGGTGGCTCATGCCTGTAATCGCAGCACTTTGGGAGGCCAAGATAGGAGGATTGCTGGAGGCCAGAAGTTTGATACCAGCCTGGATAACATGGCAAGACCCCATATCTACAAAAATTTAAAAATCAGCTGGGTGTGGTGGTGTCTGCATATAGTCTCAGCTACTGAGGAGATGAGACTGAGGCAGGAAGATCTCTTGAGTCCAGGACTTTGAGGCTGTAATAAACTGTGATGGTGCCAGGATATTCTACCTGGGGTGACAGAGTGAGACCCAGTCTCTAAAAGAAAAAAAAAAGTCAGGAGTGGGCAGGAATAAATAGAGTCACAAATCATTGGCTAATCTCTTATATAACTCTTCTGAACTCCCCAATCCATCTTTGTGGAAAGTTTGCTGAAAAATAAGACAATGGGGCCTGTATGGAACAAGCCACTTTATTGTATGGTTTGCCTCACTTTAATCTAAGCTTGAAGGATAAGCTCTGGATGGGATACTTGGCCATCAGTAGACCTAATGGAGGCCTGTTAGTGTTTGGTAAAGGTTCATGCCTTATAAGCACTAGAAGGAAATGCATGGCCAGCTGAGTGTAAGCATTCAGTGTGTTCAATATGAATATGGCTACACCAAAGCAGATACAAGTTAAATAAAGATATTCTCCTCATGGAGCAGAGGATGAATCTTGAAGAAGCATGGGCTTCAACAATGACAAGTCCTCTGGGGACAAAGTAAAGACGTACCTTGATTTCCATAGCTGGTGTCTATTGCAGACCCATCCCATGAATCCACAGCACTGTCCACACTGGGCACTGTGGAAGGGTACATGTCGGACAGCTTGCCTGGCTTCTGTGCTGGCGAGGAGTCCTCTTCCACATCCCCCAGGTCACTCAAATGGCTAGAAATGGGGAACTTCTTGGGGCTCGATGCTGACTGGGCTTTATAGACAGGAAAGGAGTTTAAGTATCAGAGTAAATTTAAATAAAAATATACCAAAATACTCTGTTGCTGGAGATTCGTTTCCCTAGAATCACACACAGACACTAGCACATTCTTTCAAGGAAGAAAATGCACTGGAAATCCTTAATTGTGGCTTTCAACTCACTACTCACCATCTGTCTGTTTCTTAATTTTCAAGGTGACAGTCTCTCCTGCCATCTGTAACAAATGGATGGCTTCACTCAGAGGCTTCCCTTTCAAGCTGCTGCTATTGATGGCTAGGATTCGGTCTCCTATGTGGATTGCGCCAGTTCTGAAACACCAAATAGTAATAGGAGAGGTAGAAATAATCCCTGTGTGGTACTGAATATAAATTCCCTGACATACCTTATACATTCATCATAATAAAGACTTGGCAAGGATCTCCAGAAGTCCCTCTTGCTTTCTTCTGGGAAATGTTGTAAGATCACTGCATATGTTGTGGATTACTTTTTAGTTTCCAAAAACATTTTAAAAATTGTTTTAATTAGTTATTAAAATGAACTTGTGTGCTTTTTCAATTCCAAGAAAGCCGAGTCATGGGGTGAGTCCCCTAAAAATCCAAATACAAATGTAGGGGATAGCATGGAGCATCCTTTCTTTCTACAGATTTTTTTTGTTTGTTTTTGAGATGGAGTCTTGCTCTGTCACTCAGGCTGGAGTCCAGTGGCGCGGTCTCGTCTCACTGCAACCTCCACCTCCCAGGTTCAAGCAATTCTCCAGCCTCAGCCTCCCAAGTAGCTGGGATTACAGGCATGCACCACCATGCCCAGCTAATTTTTGTATTTTTAGTAGAGGTGAGGTTTCACCATGATGGCCAGGCTGGTCTTGAACTCCTGACCTCGTGATCCGTCTGCCTTGGCCTCCCAAAGTGCTGGGATTACAGGTGTGAGCCACCACACCCAGCCTGTCTGAGCTAATTTCTAAGGTACACTGCAGCTCCAACATTCTGCAATGCTGTGTCTCTATTTTGCTAACCACTGTTTCCAGTTGTTAGCAGGAACAATGCATTTGTGTATTCCTGAACTAGGTTGGAAGGACAGATCTGGAGGACAGACTTGCCTGTAGGGTTTGTCATATGTCTGACAACACATCTCAGAAAGAAATGCAGTTTAGCAGAGGGTGGGGAGTGGGTGTGTGTATACATCATTGCCAAAGCAAAAAATGGACATTCCAGATTTTAAGACATTATTAAAATGGGTCACTACACTTTGTTCCCATAAGATGATGTCTGTATCAACCTCTTCTGAAAACACAGCAGCTAAATGCAGCACCTGTCAGGTAACAGAGGCTCAGCAAGTGTTTGCTGAATGAAATTGGACAAGCCATTCAAACTCCCTGAACTTTAGTTTCCTCCTTTCAAAATGGACACAATACAAACCCATCTTCAGTCAATTGTGGTCAGTTTATACGTTTCAGAGAGTAGTATCAATGCTAAGCCCATGACATCTTTTACCACCTGTAAGATGCCCCTCAGAGTCAAGTCGGAGCTCTGCCTGAGAGTTCTCGAGCTCTAAGATGAATCATTTGTGCAGATTTTTAAAAGCCAACAGATAACCACAGAGAGAGGAGCATGTTTTTATGTGGTTGTGAGGAAGGAAGCCCATCTCAGACACAGGTAATTATAACAGTTACTTCAAATTTTACCTTTCAGCTAATCCCCCTTTAGTGAGGCTTGAAATGATTATAGGATCAAACGGCTCTTCAGTTCCTGAAATTGTGATGCCAAGGGGCCCCCCATAGCGTTTCAGCTCCACGGTGTAAATAATTGCTCCAGAACTTTCTTGCTCATCTGCAATAAATGCCAAGGAATCATAATTGATTTCTTTGGAAAAGGCAAAAGAGTAAGACACATAGATTCACACATAAAGTAGGAATTCAAAACATCCTCGTCGAAGTATCATGTCTCAGAAAATAATTATTTTGGGGAACAGCATTTCCTTAGTAGGATCTTACATTCAAATACAGAGATATAGTCATTGTCAGTGCCAGGGGAGAGGAACACTGCCTAATGACTTATGTTTTACATGTGTGAGATCTGCCCAACTGGGGCTGCAGGACCTTTCAACTGTGTCCATGTCTAGGACAGTGCTTATCTAGCATTTGGTAAGTGTGCAGTAAATACCTGTGAAATAAACATATGGCTGAGGAGGTATTATAATTTGAGAGGAGAGAGTCACCCAGTAACAAAGAAGACATTGAGTCATGCTGTTTCCATTTTAAGCTTTACATGCAAGCTAACTTTTGATATAGAAACGTGGATTTTGCTAAGGGTTGGAACAAATGATAACATGTATATGGTTAAGTGGAACTTAGATAAGTAAACTTGAAGACAACAGCAAGAAATCTAGAATCTCTTACATATCATTCCACTTACTATCTTCTAATGTGAGTCCTATAGGTGAATTACAGATATTAAAGTGGAAGTTTGAATGATCATCTCTCCTCTTTCAATGGAGTAAAAGCTGTTGTAAACTATGTTTCAATAGCATAGACCAGGCTGCCACGCTGTCATAAACTAATTTTGGCTATTCAACATTATTATAGTGGAAGACACTTGTGAATGTGCTCTGCCTAAAGCACTGGCCAGAAAGATATCATGGGCCGCCTTCAACATGGTGGGTATTGTGATGGTGTCAGGGTTGCAAATAAGAAGTCTCAGAATTCAAAGGTTTTATTTGCTTCTGACATGCTTAAAGTTCTTGGGCGTTTCTTGTTTTATTCCTTGGGCCTGGGAGCTGTGAATGGTTAAGGAACTGTTTCATTTCTGCACCTGAGGATACAATGAAATGGTTCAGTGGCTACTTTAACAAAACAGTCAGCTTTTACAATCAGACTACATCCTAGTGAAGTATTAACACGGCCACATTTTTGCAGTGAGCAGCTGTTCATTTACTATATGAAACCCTAAAATAAGGAGGAAAAGCAAGGCTTGAGTTAACAATTCAATTAATTGTGTTTTCAGTGAAGAATTAGGATGAATATAAAATGAAGGGTCTATCGAGTCATGTGGGAAGCAATGTGTCCTCTCTTGCCAGCACTTACTTCACTTCTGGCCATAGATTGGGAGTTTTGAATGCAGCCACCATCTCCACTTTCTGAGCACTCTACTCAACGTATTTGCTCCACATATTCAGAACTAAAGACCATCCACCACACACTGCAATGCTTAAGTCAACATTTTAGGGCACAAAATCTTCAACATTGGGATCAAATTTACATTAGCGGCTAAGAAGTTCCCATATCAAACCTAAAACAGCTCTGTTTGCTGGTTCACAAGTTTCTTCTGGGCTGATGCTGAAGTTGTGGCCAATAGGTTGGTGATTATCTGCTAAGGGCTCTGGAGAGAAGCATCAAGATAGAGGGTAACTGAATAATGGGCAGAAGTCAAAAGTCTAAATTTTCCTACAGTACGATGTTTTGTCACATTTCAGAGCTGGCTTTGACCTAAATGAACAGAGCACTATTGGATAGATTGCATGTACTTTGCAGCCCTCATCGTCAACTATATTCTGGATGAAATTCTGAATGAGTCATTTGATTAGTAATCCCTGGCAAAGTTAAACATTAGTTACTGCTGGACACTCTGTGTGGGCCATTCAGTGGAGGTGTGTATGCCATAGCAAAGACCTTGACCCCTTATTGCTCTCTGTATAAGGCAAGCATGAGCACAAACTTGTCAATGGGTGCCAAGCATTTTGGGTTGGAGCATCCGCTCTTTATGGGTTTTGGGGAGAAGGATGCTTGCCCAGGACCTGGAGACCCAATAACTAGTGGGAGTATCCATGGAAACCATACTTCAGATGAAAACAAAAAGTGGTCCATGGGAAGGGGATTTGGGGGTAGTGCCATTCATTGGGAGAAGGGGGGTACCTGGTTCTATTCAGCTCATTCTGCAGGCAACCCAGAGTGAGTATTTCATGTTATTTTTCGACAATGTAACTTGTGACACAAAGATGACAAAATAATACCAGAGATGAAGTAAATGGCTTTAAGATAGTCTGTTTCAGGTTGCCTTATTTGGGGACATTTTTTTATTGGCATCTGAGTCCTCACTGACTAGAAGGCAATTATTAGGGCACCCAATGAGTTTAGATAGTGATGGAGATGCGAATCTAGGAAATGGTACATCTTAACAAGAAGGACACATTCCTGTGATTACATTGGGGTGGAAACAGGATGACGTGATGCTCTATTTAAATTATGACAGAAATGGAAGCTGATTTATGTTTTCTTTAACAAAAAATTGCGAGAAACACAAAAGAGAAAGGAGATTTGGCTGGGTGTGGTGGCTCACGCCTGTGATCCCAGCGCTTTGGGAGGCCAAGGCGGTGGACCACCTGAGGTCAGGAGTTCAAGACCAGCCTGGCCAACATGACGAATCCCCGTCTTTACTGAAAGTACAAAAATTAGCCAGTCGTGGTGCCTTGTGCCTGTAGTCCCAGCTACTTGGGAGGCTGAAGCAGGAGAATTGCTTGACCCAGGAAGTGGAAGTTGCAGTGAGCTGAGATCATGTCACTGCTCTCCAGCCTGGGTGATGAAGCGAGACTCTGTCTCAAAAAAAGAAAGAAAGAAAACAAAAGAAAAGAAAGAGAAAGAAAGAAAGAAAAGGGAGATTTAAGAGATATTACAACCAAAAGCAATGAGTAGATCATTTGGAATTCTAATTAAAACCAACTGTTATAAAAGGGTATCTATTGGCCGGGCACAGTGGCTCATGGCTGTAATCCCAGCACTTTGGGAGGCCAAAGTAGGCGGATCACCTTAGGTCAGGAGTTTGAGACCAGCCTGTCCAACATGTCAAAACCCCTTCTCTACTAAAAATACAAAAATTAGCCGGGTGTGGTGGCACGTGCTGTAGTCCCACCTACTCAGGAGGCTGAGGCAGGAGAATCGCTTAAGCCTGGGAAGTGGAGGTTGCAGTGAGCTGAGATTGTGCCACTGCACTCCAGGCTGAGCGACACAGCAAGGCTCCCTCTGAAAAAAAAAAAAAAAAAAAAAGCTGTCTATTTTTTCCTCGGATAGATTGCTTTAAAAAAAAAAGTTGGTTTTAATTATGATTTTATATATATCAGGGAAATGTGAACATTGAGTGACTATTTTATCATATTAAAAATATTGCTAATGATGTTATTTAGTTATATGTTTTAAAAAAGTATTTTTTAGGCATATGTTAGTAATAGTAAAAAGATGAGATGATGCCGGGAATTTCTTCATAACTCCACTGGTGAGGTGGGGAAACCAGACTAAGAGGGGAGATGAAGCAAGGTTGGTTGTAAGCAAATCACTGTTAACACTGGGTGATGCATGGTGATTCATTATGCTATTTTTATTTTTGTATGTATTTTGAATTTAATAACAAGCTTTTGAAAAAGAAAATAATATCATTTCCCTTAGAAAGCCCTATGTGGATGCCTTGTGTAAACAGGTATTTAATTACTCTGGCTTTCCTTTCATAGAGGGTGGTGATGGCTGCCCGCACAGAGTCTTTTCCAGACCATATGGCCTGTCTGCCCACAAGGCAAGCTCTCCAGCTCTTGAGAAGGACCCCATCTTGGCTCTGCCCAGTTTTTCATAGCAATGGCTTCCTCCTAAACAGTTTTCCTGCTTGGGATCCAGCCTTTGCCCCTCCTCCCCACTTCTATTTTCACCACTGCTGCCAACATAAATTTCTTCTTTTTCCTCCCCAGAATATTTTCAAAACATAAATCTGAAATGTTACTCTCTTACTTAAAGCTTTTTATTGGTTCCTCAGTTCTTTAAGAATAAAATATAACCCCTTTGCAAGAGCTGAGCTGGCCCCCAGAGGGTCACACCATTCTCCCCCATCCCAATCCAATCTGCTAAATTCTCTCTTCATAGAACCACTGCAATTCCTTAAATAGCACTTTTCTAACATCTTTAGCCCGTGCACCTGTTACTCCCTATGCACAAACATCTTTCTCTCATTTGTTATCCTGTAGAATTTCTACTTTTACTTTAAAGCTTGGCTCAGAGTCTCATCCTTCAGAAAGGCTTCCTGGTGGCTTCGCTGGAGGGGCTAGAGACTTTCCTATGAGACCCACAGCTCCTGTGCATTCTTCTGATGTTTCTAAACTTTTATTTTCATTCTTGCTCTCAAATAACGAGAAGAGTGAAATTAGTTTTAAATTATCCTTAATGAGAGAAATTAAATATTAAGAACTAGAATTCAATCAGGTATGATTGAGATTTGGAGGGCCACAAACTTTCATAATGTAATATCCAAGACACCACAAGAACCAATTTTAAGAACCAATTTTTGCCCCCCTTGGAAATGTATGTTCTAGCGTATACCTTTCACTCTATGTTTTAAGGATCTCACTACTTGGCTCTTCATTAGAATAAGATTACCTTGAAAACAGAGATTTTTATCTTCATATCCCCATAGCCTAGAACTATCTCTGGTACCAAAGGGAACACAGTAAATGCTTGAACAAGTGAGCAGAAGGATGAATGCATATTAGCATGTAGTCATTGGTTCCCAGGCTGAGATCTCCAGGAGAGTTTTACGAGTCAGCTTCCCTGCTATGCCAAGGTCTAGTTTCCTTTTCCAAGACATGTGATGCAAACCTAATCTCATTCAAAGTTTGAGAATACAACCTCAGCTGCCATTGTGGGGATGAGCAAACCTAGAACTTCCTCCCTCCACCGTGCCAGGAGTGTTGAGTCAGCTTCAGGTTCAACTGCCAATTCCACCTGCCTTCTCGGGCTTTAACTCAATTGGCATCTGTGAGGCCCTGCAGCTTAGGAGGAGGATAATAACTGCCATTT